GCCGGGGTCCAGGCGGTGGACGTTTCGGCTGGTGCCCTTGCTCGGATTTCTCTGAATCATCCTCGGCTTGACAGCAGAGCTGCAACTTCATATAGGGGCCTTAATAATTAGAATAGGGCTTTGGGGCCCAGTATACTATAATCATAACAAGGAACCCCCAAAGTAGTACTGTTGTTTTTATTTGGGCCCCTATATTAATTAGAATAGGTTTTTGGGGCCTATATACTATAATCATGATAAGGAACCTCCAAAGTAGTACTGTTGTTTTTATTTGGGCCCCTATATTAATTAGAATAGGTTTTTGGGGCCTATATACTATAATCATGATAAGGAACCCCCCCAAGATAGTATTGATTTTTATTTACGCCCCTATGTTACTGCAGTTCTCTGGAATTTCATTCCAGGGAATGCTCCTCCTACACGTTCGACGACCAACTAGTCACGAGTCATCCTGCAAATCCGAGAGCTCACGTCTGGAGTCAGGAGGTGCCCAGCCGGAAGCCTACAGGCAAAGCATTCACAGCAGTAGAGCCCAGAAAAATAATGTGGGGGGGGCCTCAATACTTACCAATACTATTTTTGGTAGGTCCTTTAGTATATTTGTAGTATAATAGGTCCCTAAGCCCTATTCTAACTATTAAGGCCCCATATATTGCCCCACATGGGACATATACAGGCTGGTTCAAACCCGAGCCCTACTCGGAAAACCTGCTTCGTTTTGTCCTGGTCGTCACCCTGTGCTGTCCAACATGCTGTCAGTGAAAAGCTCACACCTTAGCTCTCTTCCTGCTCAAGCAATGACCATATCCCCAACAAGCCCTTCTTATCTCCTTGACCCTGAAACCCGAACAGGATGCGAGAAATGTCCTTACAAAATAAGCTGTGAAAACGAATTCTAAACGACTCCCAACACTGAAGACCTTCTTCGCTACACAGGCGTCCTCGTCTTTCATGCTCTCCTATGTGTTAAGGCCTGATTCCCAGTTCACCCATGCAAGCGGCTCTAGACTCCCTAGTGAATCGGGAACTTGAGAGCAAGCGAGGTCTCCTTCGAAACACAACTTTCCGCTTCAACTTACCTGGCTAGTAGGGAATGGAGGAATGGGGTACAATTAGAAACTACTATTACTACCATTCTTCCATTCCCTACTAACCAAAGGTAAGTCAACCCAGCTTGAGCTTCAGTCAGTTTCGCTACGGTTGTAGGGTTCGGCAGAGCGTCAACTCCACGTCGATGGTGTAGGACGAACCGTTTGGAGCGTCATACGTCACCGTGGAGATGCAGTCGTGGCGAATATCTGGGCGGGAAGAAACGGAGACCTTGAAAAGGACCAAGCAGAAACCTACAGCCCGATGCCTAAAGCACCCTGCAACACCAAAGCCCCAAACCCCTAAAGCCTCAAAGCCCCAAGCCCGAAAAGTTGAAGGATGCAGAAGGATCCTTATTCTCAAGATTCCTACATGAGGTACTGCTACTTGCGAGGCTTCGGAAGTCTAGCTTGAGCAATTCTTTGATCCGCCTCTTCATAAATCAGAGCCTGACAAAAACCTGTCTTCCCAACACGTGACCCGATTACCTGACGAAGCCTGGACTGAAGCGATCTGTCCTTCCACTGTATACCTTGGGTACGGCCCCCATACAGTAACAGTCTGTAATAGGGCTACTATTAAGGGCCTATTATATCTATATTGTGAACACTATCCAATTGTTACTGAGTGGGGGCCGTAATCAATGGTTATACCTGTTGCGCGCATCTCCGGAGCGCTTCGACCGGATCGGAGAAACATCTACGACACGCCACGCGAGTCTAATCAGATGCTAGGCCCCTCCCAAAAGGACTACGATTTGTCTGACTTACTACATCCCGTGTAATTACCCAGACCCCCGGGAGGGTCTAGAAAGTAGATCCCCTAACTTGGGGCCCTATACTACTAAGGGTACTTTATAGGAACCCCCATTAAGGGATCTACTTTTTGGATTCTCCCGGGGGTCTGGGTAACGTGTTCCTCGCCAGGAAGCTTAAAGGCTTTGAATTCGCAACAGCCGCTCGCTCAGCTGCTGCACGTGCAGCACGCCCCTTCCTTGACGAGAACAGAGACTGCGGAGGAAACATCGGAGCGTGGAATCCCACAACTTAGCGAGCACTCGCGAGCATTTAATCTACGAGCAAAGTATACCTCCGTTGGTCTTAGGCTTTCGGTGGTAAAGGGCTTAGGGTTGAAAATGTAGGGTTCACAGGCGCTTGTTCTGTTGCATTTTTGAGCTAGAAGGACATTCGATGGGTATGACATGATATGTCTTGGTGTGCTTCTTGTGGAATTTGTTGGTGGCAGCTTCGGCAAGTCGCATTCCGGGTCAAGGGGACCAGTACTGTTGGATTTTGGGTAAATGAGACTATAGTTAGAATAAGGAGCCCCCCAGAATAGTATTGGTTGGGGGACCAGTACTACCTCAATTTGCAGATTGATTGCCGGTGAGTGCGATGAGCACGAAGATTGCCAGCCCTAGAAGGACTATGAATGATTATTACACTCATGGCCATTTTTACTTGTATGGTTCAGACAACTATACTTTTTCAATAGTACTACAGGACCTCAATGATGCAAAATATGTAACTTTTGGGGATGTAGCAATGCAGGAACTTGAAGCCTAGATCCTTACACCAAAAACCCCTCGAAGGCAGCCCAGGTGCTTAAATCCCATGGCACGGAGCTACCAATTGGCTCGACGCGGCGCGGGAGTGTGCCGTAGTTATCCGGCACCGAAAAAAGGAAGGAAGGAAGTGTGGGGAGTCCCTTCTTTGTGTGGAGGGGTTGGGGGTGGGTTGAGGCTATGCCCAAGAACCAGACCCTGTCTTTAGCCCGCTGATGTCTCTATTGCTCCAAAGCCATGCGGAGGGCAATGGAGCATTTATCTCTGATTCAGCAAACTTGAGCTTCAAGCAAGTACGTAGTCCAAGCATGCAGCATCTTGGTCAGCCTTTTTTGGACCCGTGTGCTTACTATCTGTACGGAAGCACGCTTTGAGCCCGCCAGATTCAGATGAAAGATCGCTCCATTAGGTCTCAATTCCTTTGGGTTTGCAGTTGAAAATGTAGGTGGAAGTCACCGTCTGGGTTGGGATACCACTAGAGAGCCACGCCTAACGACTGCTAGCCCTACAACTGCTGCTGCTGCTACTACTACTACTACGACGACGACTAGTACTACCACGACGACTACTACGACTACTGCTACGACTATTGCTAATTACTACGAAAAACTACTACTACGAACCAAGCGCTATGGCTGCTATCGATCTAAATACTACTGCCAGTAAACATTACTACTACGATGACGACGTGCTGCTGCTCTGCTACGCCCACCGCTTCTGCGCCTACTACGAATACTGACAGTTGCAACACTGCTGGTACAAAACCCTACCAGAGACAGCCTGTTTGTGACCAAGGGTTTGCCGACAAAGCAGCCCTCCTCGTTTCACGAACACCGCAGCCATCATATCAACATCCAGTTGAACTTAAGCGTCATACCGTATGATGACTATGCTCAATGTGATCGACGATCGTAACTATGACAACAGGATCAGCTACTGGTTGGACTGTCGTAGCATGACAGCAAAAACACTCATGATAGCAAGTGAAGTTATTAAAGGATCATGGTCGGGGTCGTCAATGGTTCTCCCGTGAACACAAGGCGGCTACTATTCAGCAATGCAACTCTTGCCCTAAACGACAAACATTTAAGAGCCGAGCATAGTTTCGAGCTCGTGACAAACCCGACTGTAGCGGATTGAGAGTGAGGCCCAGGTACTGGCTTGGGGTTCTGGGTTTCGGCTTGTGGCTTAGGAACGAATGGTTGAAACGGCACATCCGGCGATCCGGACCCACTAGGAAATGGAGCACTTCACCGGGAATGGTAAATTTGCTGCGGTATGGCAGAAGACGTTCAGGACAGCAAATTTGCGGATTGAGAGTGAGGCCCAGGTACTGGCTTGGGGTTCTGGGTTTCGGCTTGTGGCTTAGGAACGAATGGTTGAAACGGCACATCCGGCGATCCGGACCCACTAGGAAATGGAGCACTTCACCGGGAATGGTAAATTTGCTGCCGGTATGGCAGAAGACGTTCAGAACAGCCACAAGTACCAGGCGACGGCTTGGTGCTTCCATCTATGCTTGTGTACATACATATATGCATATGTGCATATAACTATATATGTATACACGTACATATATATATATATATATATACATATAATATATATAATATAATATATATAATATACACACGTATTTACACCTATATATATATACACATTATGTATATATGTTTCGGCGACAATCGAAATCCCAAAACTTTTCCTCGTGTGCCATGAGCTCAATGGCGGCCAAAGCATCAGTCTCCGCCTTGAGGTCATGTTCCTGATTGTGGCTATGGTGCTTAGAATAGGGTTTTGGGGCTCGATAAACTGAATTAGTTACAATGATAACAAGGGATCCCACCCACCCCCGCATCAAAAAAAACAAAATAGTACCGGTAGCTGTTTAGGCCCCTACACTCGTGGCTTTGGGGCTCCGTGAGTGTCACAGCCGGAGGATGCAAAGCTTCAGAGCTTCGGTTTTGTTAAGAAAAGCTCAGGGCTCAGAAGAAAGAGTCAAAGACGATGGCTTCAGGCCTTCACTCTGTCAGACCTGACGATTCGAAGTACATGAACAGTGCCCATGAAATGGCTGGGACTCGTACGTCTTCAAACCTCAGACTCAGTATATAAGCATGATTCGTTGCTAAAGCTCTAAGCTGACTGTACACCGGAAGAGTTGATGGCACGAACGCCGAAAAAGCGAAAAGGAGGACAGAACCCAGCCTCCAAAAACACACGCAATGTCCGCAGTCCTGCGACCTGTGTACGCACTACATGCAGTGCTTGGCTTTAAGAACCCAAAGGCTGAACCCTTTTGAACCTCATGTGCACATTCGAGCACAAGGGCTATTTGCCCAAGGTGTCAAAGCTTCCGACATTCGCGAATGTAAAGCCGAAATACGGCGCGTTGAGTGGGGTGAAACATCACTAGCCAGGCCAAGAGCAGGATAGAAGCTTCCCAAAGGAGTGTGGGACTGCCACCGAGATAGTACCACCACACGTGAAGGTCGACGGGGGACTGAACAATCGCCACGAGGGTATACAATTGCATGGCAGGGATCCAGACGGCAGAGTAACACACCCAGATCCTTGTCCAGATAGAATAAGCAGTCGCAGACTGCAACCAGGCCAAGATAGGCGCTGAAATAACTAGCCTGGCTCATGGTTGGGATAACACTGATTGGGTTTAGGTATCCATAAACATGTAAAATGTTACCCCAGTTTTTCCAAAAAGAGTAAAGTGTTACCCAACTATGACACAGTAGCAGTATGCTTGGGACAGTGAACCACACGCCAAAAAGCTCTAGATCTCCAACAGGTGGTGCTTCTGGTGGCGGCAGTTCTTCCCTCTGGAAGTATTGACAGAAGGCCCATACGGTCAAATACACATGGCCAAACAAGGTGAAGAGACTAATCATGAAAATTGTTGCAAAAACCCCAAACTCCTTCTGAAAAATCTTTGGGCCGCCGGTGTAGCTGATCATGAAATCGACCTTGTGGCTGTTGTTGGAAAAGTACGGTAAACTCCATAAAGTTGGAAACCGAATTAAGGCCAAATAGTGCTGGGATTCCCTATACATTAATCTTAAGGATTGAGGCTATTGGGTTTCCAACTTTTGGGCTTCTACCATATAGGTGTCCCGTTTGGATTTTGGGTCGGTGTCCGTAATCCTGTAAATGATGATGATAGTATGCCTAGCATGGTTGATAGGAAGCTATCCAATAGTATATGCCTGTCTTGGGTGTATACACAAACACTCACAGGTATGGTGTTGAAAAACTTGCTGACTCAGCTATAATTACGGTTTAGAGTTTAGGGTTTAGGGCTTAAGCCTAATTTGCTCCAAACCCCTGCCTTGCCGCCCCGTGTACTCAAGACCTCGTCCCGGCCTTTCTGCAGGATGGCGATGGCCTCTTTCCCGAAGCAGTTGTCCTAGTTCATGGTTGGGATAGTATTAAAAATGTAAATGTTCATTCCTTATTGGGTTTAAGTACCCATAAAAATGTAAAATGTTACTCAACTATGACAAAGTGTCATCGAGCGACAGCTTCAAGGCAGAGCTCTTGAAGAGGCCTGCGAAGCTGGCTGCCCCGTCATCTGCAATGATGTTGGAGCTCAGGTCCAGTTCTTGCAAGACGCAGTTCTGGATCAAGGCATCGGCGAGGTGCTTGGCCCCTTTACACTTCAGGACGTTGTGAGATAAATCCAGGGATTCCAATCTAGTCTTCTTGCATGCGAGTGCTTCTGCTAGACCCTCTGCACCTTCCGCATCCACCAGGCACCAAGTGAATGTCACCTTCAACAGTGTGCCGTTGCCCTTGAAGCCCAGGGCTAGTTTGCGCACTGCGTCCCCAGGGATGCGAAGGTTGTTGAGATGTAGTTCTCGCATCGTCAGCGCGGTGGATAAGGCCTCCGCACCATGACAGTCAACCTGGCTGTTGCTTACCTGCAAGACAACTAGGTGCTTGTAAAGCAGCAGCGCGCCAGAGAGGATCGGGAATTCGCGAGGGGGCAAAAGGGCTAGCTCCAGGGTCTCACACTCGTCCGCCTTCTCCATGAACACACGTGCCTGCAACTCCTTCACGGCCTCGGCACTGTCTTGGTGTGTGAACAAAAGCTCGCGGTTAGCCACCTTTGTTTGAAAGACCGCAGGTGCCATGGGAGCTCTGGTCCACGTCTGAGGAGATACGTTGGAGAGCGATACAGTCTGTCGAGATTTGCTTCGCATGCTTGACCACTGGCATTCAGCTTCACACCAACCGCGCCGGAAATAGGGTGTGGCATTCTCTACGAGATCTGCCAAATGCCGAACATCCACCTTTCCATCTTCAGGGATCCCCGTCTCCGTGAAGAATACTTGAATTAGCTTCTGTAGATCAGCTTCTTCAATCGGGGCCAAGTCCTCAATGCGGTAGGTCCATGTGTACTCATGAGTGTAGAAGAAGTGCATGTGCATCATCGTGTACTGAAAACTTCTGTTCTGATGGACACTTGTGCGGTAGAACTGATACACCGACATGTAGTCCAAGAAGTACCAGGAGTACTCGTCATGCCAAAGCTGGGCCCCGGCGATCAATGCCAGTTGATTTCCCCTAGGGTCAGGATGCTCCCTGGTTTCCCACACATGAGAAACGCCGATAATCCGAACCTTGCTGCGATATGCTGCATCTGTCTTCCACTTCTGTAACTCCTCGCATGTGACGAAAGCATCCGGGTACCTCGGATGGCTTTCCAACTCTTGGCGACGGATGAAAGTCTGCTTCTCCCTCTCAAGAGCTTTCAGGCACGTTCCCCGCACCAAGCGAATGTCTACTCTCGCATCCAGGAGGAGGTCGGCAAGTCCAGAAGGATCCGTCAGGTTTGTATAGAGCAGTTCTACTGGCTCCCCGGAATCAGTAACGCCTTCGCCTTCGTGCATTGAGGCCCTTGCCTGTTCATTCATCTTTGGATCGGGCATTTGTGAAGGATGCACAAGTTCAAAAGACATCTTGAACCGTAGGCTGCAGTCACGCATTCAACTCAAGGCTGCTTCAACCTCATCCTCAGCAGCATCAGCCGCATGAGCAGCAACTTGCGTCATCATCACTTCAATTGTGCATGTGTGCAGGATGGTGTAATGAAACATGGGGCCTGCTGCCGCTCTTAATCTCAGTCCACCCTACCCATTTTACGGTATCGTAGCGTTACCAGTCAAAGCAGCAGAAACAGCCGAGTGGCATAGCTGCTGGCTACCAACTCTTGCAGCTCGATGCTCCACGACCTTCAGTGGCTCGGGATTGTTGTAATTTGGCTCTTACAATCGTAACTTGGTATTACTTGGGGCACCTTTGAGAAAAACATGATGTAGCAATGAGGGCGCAGGGATTTGGTTTGGGTTGTGTGTCTGTCACATGCCAGGACGCAGGCCTGAGAGGCACGGCTTTCGGGATTTTTTGGTGTGCATCAGCTGGGGTGCGTACGAAAACTGATTCACTCACTCTTCTGCCCTCCGTGACTCAGATCACTCTGGCTACTATAGGGGCCTCAATAATTCCCAATACTATTTTGGGGGTTCCTTATTAAAATTATAGTATGGGCCCCAAAACCCTAGTCTAATTATTAAGGCCCCTACGTTACCCCAAAGACTCTGGGAATATAGATGACTGTACGCTAAAAAGAACAAGAATTTCTGGCCCGGATCGCTTGCTGAGGAAACTGCTCAGTTTGGGCGTATATAGTCAATAGCGCGGCATATTATGAGGCTTGGGGGTAGTGCTCTAAACAATGATACCTTCTGGGGCCGTGAATGTGCGGGTCACGCACTCCTCCGCTGGTTCAACAGGGACCACATAGTTCAGAGAACTCAGACTTTGGATTTGACATCTTGGATATGAGGTACGAGCTTTCAGCCACCAGCCACCGTGGGTGCTGCAGTTTGGCGGGCCGAAAGTTGGCTGAATGGTGCCCGATATGGGGGCTGAACCGACAAAAAGGGCTTTGGGTTTACAAAAGCTAGCGGATAGCAGCACGCCAAAGCGCATTCGCTACTGCTTTTCGCATATGGCAACTTTTCTTATCAACCTCATACAGTAAACCCCATAAAGTTGGAAACCTGATTAAGGCCAAATAGTGCTGGGACTCCCTATACATTACTCTTAAGGATTGAGGCTATTGAGTTTCCAACTTTTGGGTTTTTACTGTAGATCCTGACCCTCCGACACACGTGATACACCTTTGGCTGATGATTTGACTCTGACCTGAATCTCAGCTTCCAACACCTCGCTCTGCCGAAACAGCGCTCCTTTCGCACCACCCTGGCCGAAGATCCCGTGATAAGTATTTTGATGTAGTGTGTGTGTATATATATATATATGTACATACATATATGTACATACATACATGCATACATACATACATACATACATACATACATACAGACATACAGACATACAGACATACAGACATACAGACATACATACATACACATACATACATACAAACACATATATGTATGTATATATATATATGCTGCCATTACCTTGTTGTCATTACTAGTTGTAGTACATATAGTATGGTGGCTGTGTGGATACTTTTCTCAAGTCAATCTTTTAAGGCTTGGGATTCATCGGTTCGCGGCTGACGACCGGAGTTGTCATGGGCTTTTCTTTGTTGGAAAGGCATGCTCCTGAGCCTCAGATAGACCTGTGTGCTGGTTCCATTATTGAATCCCCTAGGCCCTGCAGCGTTTCGAGCTTCAGGTTTTGAACGGAACAGGTGCCTAGACGACAAAGAAACACCTAATGCAAACATTCATCATACAATCTGAGCTATGCTCAAAGCACCTAAACTCTAGACCGGTACTACTCACTTCGTGAGACCAGTGTCTCATGTACTAGTTACATATTGAGGGCCCAAAAGACCCATGTCAGGAGTAGGATTGCTGTAGAGCCCCAGGACCCCTTTGATGCCCTGCGGGGCGGGGTTCGCCATGGCCTCATACTGCCAGCACGGCAGGGTGAAGGATGGTGATGACATCACCGACTGTGCAGCAGATCCAGCTGCCGTCATGAGGATGGCCACTGCAACCGCTGATGAAAGGAGTACGTATGCGCCGTCAGTCATGGCCAATTGTGTGTGCACCTTCGGCATGCGATTGTTAGTGGAGTGTCGTTGTTGACGCTGTTGATGTCGGCTTCGGCGAGGAGGAGCATGCTGCTGATCTTGTGCCCTCGCAGCCAGACGGCGTATTGGAGAGGCTTCATGTATGCTGTTGGATAGTGTGGTAGCCGGGCTAGGATGGTCTGGTTGGGGTCCGCTGCTGCTTGCAGCAAGCGATGCAGCTGGCTAGAGTTTTGTTCTTGGATTGCCCACGAGAGCTGACTGCTGTGTTCAGCCGTGCAGCATGATGTGACCAAGTCGATGTTCACCGCATGGTGGCGGTGTGCTAAGGCGGCGAGGGTGCTCCAGTTGTGGCTGTTACCCACTACGCTGCCGTGGATGGTGAAATTTGTTCTGTAGCGTGGCATACCAAGTGTCTTGTGTAGGTAAATGCGCAGTGTTTCTGCGAGCTGTCCGTCGCCGCAGCGGGGGGCGCAGTCTGCCAGGGAGCATGTCCACACTAGCTGCCCGGACATGGCATGGAACTGCAGCATTGCGGTGCTGGTAGGTCGTGCAGTTTTGGGGCATGCGTCGCTGCTGGCAGGCTTGTTGAAAAGCAGTCGGGCGTCGGCTATCGGTTTGATCTGATGCTGCGGTAAGTGCAGGGCGGGGCCTTCAAACTTTGAGTTTCGGCATCTTGGGGCTCCTTAGTGCTCAGGGTTGCACAGAAGCCGGCTGTTCCTTGACGTTCGAATTGCTGTCGGGCAAGCGAAGTGTTCGAGCTTCCTTTGTTTCTCTCTCACGGGACAAATGCGTCGCGTGGTCTATTTGACATGGGGATGGATGGGGCATGTGAGAGCGGCGCTGCCTCTGGGTGTTGGTTTGGCTTGGAGCGAATGCACCTCGGGCACGGGGAGTCTTGGTGCTGCGATGTGGTTTTTGGTTTCTGAGATCTTGAGGCCCGCACACGACGTCTTCTGCGTCTCTCCACGTGAGTTGATCCCTTCGGATCAAGAACTGTCGACAATTTTTGGTTGAGCAAGGTCACTTGACTGTCTCGGGCGCAAGCACGGCGGTGAGCTCAAGTGCATCCGCAATTAGACGTAGCATCCTTCAAGTACAGCGCTGCCTGATTTCTACTGTCAAAGTCATCGGGCTGAGTTGCATGCGCCTCAATCTATGTTCGTAGAGTTGAATCTGTTGGGCCATGGACGATGGGCACGGTGCGTGTACGGCCTTGGTATGTGGTGGGCGTTGTTCTATCTGATCTGTGCGTTCCGACTCGTCTTGGCCGTGCCTCGCTGTAGACGACGATGGGAGGTCGATGGAGTTGGCTGGTTATCAACCGGGCCTCCAGAACCAAAGCCTCGCAGACATGAAGCCTTGCTCTTCGGTGTGGCGCGGAGCTGATCTGATGGCGAGGTCTGGGCGTTGTATTGCTGGACCTCGCTCCATGGCTGGCTTGGCCTTGTGGGAGGTTTCTTTATGCGTGGAAGTCATGACCACCTTGCAGACAAGCAGCTCGAACGCATAGAGGGTTTGGCGAGAAGTGGAGATTCTGACTGCCATCGCTGGGCGAGCTCACGTGGGCTGCGAGTCTTTGAAGTGGCGGTTGCAGGCTCGAGCGCAACGGCTCGGGCATACAGAGCGGAGCACGGGTTTTTTAAGGCCTTGGCTGCCGAGTTTGGAGTGCTCTACTTCGGGGCACGGTGTGGCGTCTGGTTCTGCGAATGGAGAGAGGTGTCCTAGTTCTCGTGGTTATGCTGCAGCGTGCTGCTTCATAGCTATCAGTGCATGTTTCTTCATTTCGTGGAGGCCTTGCGCGGGACCGTGTCTCTGTGCTGCCGGTGAAGCTGGACGAGCTTCTGGATTGTTGTCAATCACCGCATGCCACTCCTGTGCTTTCTGGCCGGAGAGTTGGCTCCGGCTTTCGTGGGTCTGCACGCATGGCATGTTTATCTCTTTTGGACAGGTTCTGCATGTGGCAAGGTCTCTGGGCGTGGTGCAGCTTGGCTTTAGTCGCCGTGTGTTCAAGTCTTTTCTTCACAATTCTGCTGCCATCCTGTTCAGTTGCACTATGAGTTTGCTTTGTGATATCGTGCGTCAGGTTTGGGCTAGGTGGCTTCAGGCTTCCGTGCATGCAGGTGTAGGCGGTTGTCTTTTTCTTGAAGGCAGTGCGAACAGTCGTGTCGCATGGGCCGCATGGGTCTTTTCCGTGATGCTCCACAGGGTGCCAGGGCGATAGCTGTACGGTGAAACATCGGCTTTGTGTTTTCTTTTGATGTTCGGCTTCCACGATTGCTAACGCAGGTGTTGCAGCTGTTGCTTCCAGCATCCTTGCTTGCATCGTCCTGGGCACTCTCCTGGAGCGCTTCGGTCCTGGGAACGTGCATTCCGGCCTGCCTACTTTCGGAGCAATCTGGGTGGTGACGGCTGCGGCCAGTTGCGCTCCCTGGAATTATGCACTGACTCGCTTCTTCATCTGCCGCACAGGAGCTACTTTCGTGACTCTCGATGCCAACCAGTTCACGTGTTCGTTGATGGTCGTGCTCAATGTGATTGGAACTGCGACCGCCGAAGCAACCGAATGGGGAAATCTGGGGCACGGTGTCACGCAGATCCTCTCGATTTTGGTGCTGTCCGAAATAACGATTCACTCTGGCATGGCAGCGGACACTGCCTGGCGAGTGTCTCTGATCGTGCCGGCCGTTTTCTGCCTCGTCACTGCGACAGGCTTGAAGCTGCTGCGTAGGAACACCTCCACTGCAGCGCGGTTGGACGTGTCCGTGACGGGTAAGATCACGAAATCATTGTTGTGGGACTCCTTTGAAGTGTTGAAGGACTTCAGGGTCGTCGTCAGAATCATGCTGTATTCGACAAGCATTCGCACGGAGCTGGCGATGAACAACCAGTTGACCACTCGCTTCAGGACCTACTTCCTGATGGATGCGGCAGATGTCTCTGTCCTGGCAGGATCCTTTGGTCTCTTAAATTTGGTCCCATACCTTTGCGTCCACTATGTTGACGTACTCTGCCCCGGTCATCTCGGCTGAGAAGGATTACCACGAGCACCAGTGGGGAATGCTGCTGAACCGACTGCCTGATTGCCCCCTATAAGTGGCTTGAACGTGGATATCACAGAGTCTCAGACCAAGCTGGTCAAATACCCGCGCATCCACTTCATGTTGATGTCTTATGCCTCGGTCTTCACGGCTGCGAAGGCTTACCTTGAGCACCAGTGGGGAATACTGCTGAGCCCATTGCCGGATTGCCCCCTGAGTAGCTTGAACTTGCTGGAACGTAAGAGTGCTCGACATATGTATGTGTATACGTACGAAGCAAGTTGGCAACTCACACTGCCAACTACTTGGCCGTGCGACCCTCCTCAGATGTGACATTGCACCCTTTGGCTCTGCTTTCTCGATGTGTACACGCTGTCACTGCACATTTGGGAATGCTTGAGTGGGCACAGTTCTTTTGAAGTGTGGGGCATGTTAGCTTTGTTCCTGCCTCTCCCAGCCCCTGGAGGAATGCTCAAAGCTGGACCGCAGGGAAGTCTGATGATCAGCTCTCCCTGTTGTCGTCTGTAGGTTTGTTGCTGGCTTCGTGGTCGTTCATGGGCCAGCTGTTGTTGTTGTCACGCTTTTGGAGGGTCCACGCTCCCGAGCCTGTTTGCGTGTGTCAGTGCTTTCCAATGAGAGGCGCTCGGATTGGCCAGACAGCTTTTAGCCCTGGAAGTGGCTGCTGGGTTCATCTGGTGATCCCTTTTTCGATTTTGCCTCTCATCGCAGATTTCTGCGCCACGGGCCCTATAGGACTGTGAGCGCATACTGCTTTCCAATCTAATTAGGTGCTTGTTGAATTCTTATGCATGTGGCGCGTCCTCAGGACACCAAGCCACCCAGAAAGAAAGAAAGTTACATATTCCGATCATGGCAAGGTTTCTAGCCAGCTCATAATCATCATCGAGCAGCATGATTGCGACAGCAGTAAGTGCATGCCTCAGAGACTACCAAACAAACATGACATCAAGTGTTCAAAGGAAATAGCTTGTCTGCAGATGGCCGGGAAGGGCGGCAAAGGTCCGCAGCGACGGTAAGGCTCTCGGCAAAGAGCATCCTCGCAGCTGCGAGGCGGAGGAGTCGGAGGATTTTTGGCAGTCCAGAGTCTAGGGCGACGTGAGTGCTAAGGTCAGGAGCCTCATCGGTTTGAGGCGTCTTCGGCTTTCTGTTCTGGGGCCAGTGAGCTCGAACAAGTTGAGGTTCAGGGCAAAATGAGTTCATTTGCATGATCACTAGGAGAAGCTTGGGAGTTTGCGGTCTAAGGGTTGCTAGTATAAACCCCCAACTTCACCCTTATCCAAATCTTAAACACTTGTTGGATTTGCCGCGTTAGGATGTAGTGCGTTGGGTCGTTGCTGAGTATTGCCTTGAAACGACTTCCATACCTACGGAACCCTCAAGACGAACATCGCAAAGCGCCACACCGCTGGTTTCGGGCGTTTTTAACGGCTTATAAGTTTCCGAGTTCCTAAACCTTAGAAACCCGAAGCAAAGAATAACAGCTGTTGCCTGTAGGTAACGACTGAAGGATCTTCAGGCTCACTTGGAGTCTTTTTTCCCTTGAAAACCAAAGCCGAAAGACACGCCTCTCACTTTGGACAAAAGAAACTCTGTGACTCTTGACCCAAAGCCTACGGGACGACTCGCCGACCCCTGTAGCTACAACAACAAATTGCAACCCTGAACCTCGTCTGAACCCCACACTACCCACCCCTGGTTCTAGTTCTTCAAGCTTCGCCACTGAACCCTTAAACCGCTGAGACCTGAACCCTCAAGTTGTCGATCATAAGCCTTATAGACAACGGCCTCCACCAATCTGATCGACTCGTCAGGACGCTCCACAAGGAAGACGACCTCCAGCGGACCATGCAAAAGTGAGACTTGGGGGGTTCACTGCCGGGTTTCCTGAAAGGGATAAGTAAGGGTTCTCATGAGGGCCCTGATCGGGACGTAGGCCTTTAAACTGCAATGCTTTTGGTCGTCGTTTGTTTTCGCAGGCTCTTTCCATCTTCCTAGGCATTGGAGATGCTTGTGACAGGCGGACATTTCTGTCGTGTTTCATCTCTAGGGGCCTTTTATCGTGTTCCTGAATGTGAGTGTAGCTTCTAAGATCTGAATCTGGAATTGGCCGTCTGGGCTTTTGGCCGGGGCTTGACGTCCGAGTTTGAGGGTTAAGAATCAGGGTCTAGGGTTATGGATGAAATGATCGCCCGCTGAAGCTACTTCTAACAAAACAACTGTCTGGAACGAGCGTGCGGTCCGAATTCAGAACCAGTTCCTCCATGGTTGACTTCCTTGTTACCTGCAATGTATGTGCTTGGTGATGTAGCCAAGGATGCTTAGTAGTTCCGATGGCACATGTTAATTAGGTTTGCAGTGGAACATTCATAACGATGTTTCGTTGGAGAACGTCGAGTTGGCAGCCTGGGGTTCGTATTTTCTCAAGATTTAAGTTCTTAAAGCCGCATTTGTGCCCTTGCATGTAAACACACCCTCCGTCCGAAGAGCTCTTAACCCAATGCCGACGGCTGACTAACAGAACGCTCTGCAGCATGAACTGTTCTCAGCGCGACAAGCCCTGAATACCCTGCCTACAAGAATAGCAGCATGCAAGATAACTGCGAAACAAGGCGGTCATCCGCAAAACTGCCCATCGGAAAACTTGAGCCCGCGAACTTGCCTCCTTCTCCTCGGGGGGAGATGTGAAGGCCGGTTCCACGTGAAACTCGTCCCGTTCGCTGATAAAGCTTCCTGGGATGCAGGATGGGATCGTTACTGTGTTGCGTACGCAGTCGCCATTGTGGAGAGGATGCATCATCAGAAGAATCGATCCCACCTCTACATCAGTGGCGACTGTGATCATGCTGCTGTTGTTGCAGACGCCGACAATTATGGCCCTCTATGGCACGCCAATGCTGTGTGTAAAAGGACGTTCATGCGCATGTTCGCGACGCTGATGACGATGACGATGATGTCGGTTGACGATCGGTAGTCAATTACACATGGTGTTGATGGTCACCTAGTCACACGCCATCTTGGCTACAGTCATAGAATCACTGAACCTGCACCTCTCGAGCCCGAAGCCAACACTACCGTACCACCAACCGCCGTGCCCCAAGGCGTAGCACAGCAAAGCATGAAATTCGAAGCGCACCGAGCCCCTGCACATGTCGCATTGTCTCCCATCTCCTCATGACAAGCTATGAACCGAGATGAAGCTCCTTCATTATCAGGGCCCTTGTCAGATCAGGGATGTACACATGGGAGTTTCCGAAAATTAGGGGTACCTTACTTTGGGGTCCGTATAATAGGGATCCTACTATTTAAGGTACTGTATTACTAGGGTTCTCGATTTTCGGAAACTCCGACATGGTCATCGCTCTACTCGGGACCACCGAGGCGCGATCTGGGTTCTCCGACAGGATCTCCCTCAGCCAGGAGTCAAAGGAGATGTCCGGCGCCAGGTGACCCCTGGCCGGTATTTTCTTGGGGGTGTCGGAAGCTTTCGTTTTCTAAGGTTGCGCTCGGTGGCGGGGGAGGCTTTTGGTCCAGGGTTCAGGGTCTTGGGAATAATGTAAGTGATGTACCTAGAGTCTCCATTGTAGATCCTTTTTTGGTTAACCAGTTTTATGGTTAGGATCCTATAATAGAGATTTTGGTTCACCAAAAAAAGGAACTACAATGGAGACTATAGGTAAGGTTGCGGAATGCTAAATTGAGAAACGAACGAACATACTGACGAAGACTCAATGGAACCGAGACATGCCTGAGCGTTAAACCTACCCTCAAGCCCTAACCCGAAACCCGAGTTCCCCAAACCCTTACAGCCCTGAACCCAACTCCCCAAACGCTCATATCCGTAATCCCATAGAGCACCGCAGAAAGGAACCTTAACCTTACTAGCAATGGCTCCCGACGCCCCTATTTGCCAGTTTTTTCTCTTTCCGGAGGCCTCCTCTGCTTCCACTCCCTCCAGTAGCTCGCGAGTCTGGCGAACGGATTCCTCGCTGGATTCGGGACTTAAGAGTTTGTGGTTTATAGGGCCCAGGGGTTTTGGGTGCTTTAGGGTTTAGGGCCGTTTAGGGGGGTGAGGGCTTCTGCTACGCGTGCTTACAATTAGCTAGGGTTAGGCAAAAACTCTCGAAACAAGAACGAGTTAGGTCCTAAATAGGTTACATACAGAGGTTGACAGGAAGATGTCCAGGGGCTGTGCAGGGACCACCATGGGCAAACGAAACGCAAAGTGAAGCAAGCGAGCCGACAAGTGTACTAGCGGGCTTCCCAGAGTTATCCCAGAGATTAAGATCAAGCCCCGTGCTAAATCCGGCGCAGCAGATCATGACGATCCCCCAAAACCTGAGCCTCAAACCCGCATAAACCCTCCCGCTCGAACCGACTTTGCAGCAAAGTCTCCGCAGCGTCACCACACGAAGCCGAGCCGTGCCCTCTCTGCAGCAGGTAGGGCACAACGCCAACGGAAGGCCTGCAGAAACGACTCCGACATCTACTACCTAGAGTCTCCATTGTAGTTCCTTTTTTGGTTAACCAGTTTTATGGTTAGGATCCTATAATAGAGATTTTGGTTAACCAAAAAAAGGAACTACAATGGAGACTATAGGTAGTCTACAGGTGTCCAGGCAGAAATCGACTGAGATTGTAAACATCCGTCGATGACACAAGAAGAGAGAGCCGAATGCATCGGCCTAACAATGGCAGCTCCTCGTTAAAGTGTCGGGCGGTCATACCTCGGCCGCGTGCGATGATGTCGTAACATCTGAGGCTTCAGAGCGTAACTTTGAGGGGTCTTATTTCGGTGAATTTCGTTTAGGGCGCCAGGTTTGGAGGGTCGGTGGGGCGGGGGGGGCGAGGCCTTCAAGTGCCGGGGTCAACTGTTGCTCTGAAGCGCTGCCTCGCACGGGTAATATATAATAATATACTAATCAATAATAATAATAATAATATATATATATATATATATATGACTTGAGCTTAATCCTGACTCATTAATCTCCCAAAACACCGAGCCGCCGTTTAACGTGCGATGCCAGTCTTCCTGCGAAGAAGAGCATTGGTGCAGGTTTACACCGTTGGATGCTGGAACACTGAGGGAAGCAATGTAGGCCTCAATAACTGGAAGAGGGCTTGGGGCGGTTTTGGGGGTAGTGTAGGGTATGTTATGATAAGGAGTGCGAAGGAATAGTGTTACTGATGATCCATTCCGGCTTCTACATCTCAAAGGATTCTGAAGTAGCGCACTGATCGAAAGTCAAATGGCAAGTGCAAGTGAACTGGGCACTTCTTGTGGACTATGCTCCTGGGACTTCAGGGCGACAACCTAGAGATGTCTGAGACAAACATAACCTGACAAATGGGTGGTAGTCAAAATTAGGGTCCCCTTAGTCCCTTTTTGGGTACCCTAAATAGTAGGTGCCGTATAATATTAGGGACCCAAAAAACAACCCTAAGTTTGACAACCATTCAAATGAGTGGGAGTCCTTTAATCAAGCGCCTGCATTAAAGCACATCTTGCCTAGCTTGGTTTACGAAGTTTAGTCGGCAGTCCTGGCTGCAGCCCAGGCGAAAGAGCTCGTGCTCAATCCACTCACGTCCGAAACCTGGGGAATCAAAGAACTCAGTGCTTTGGGTACTGCCATACAGTAACATCAATCCACTCACGTCCGAAACCTGGGGAATCAAAGAACTCAGTGCTTTGGGTACTGCCATACAGTAACAGTCTATAATCGGGCTACTAGTAAGGCCCTTATATATCTAGATTTTGAGCATTATCCAACTGTTGCTCAGTGGGGCCATCAAAGAACTCTGTGCTGCTTGAGGTTGGTTCCGGATCTATCTGGATTTCATAGAAATGTCTGGTAGCTTTGGCCTCACTCAAACCCGAAACCCTGAACCTGCCCTAAACCCTCCCTTGCAGCTTTTATGACTGACGATTGAAAACGTTCTCATGGCCGGTCAAGCTACGCATCTCGCCTTTCAGGACATCTCACGTCCACCTAGCAGCCCAAAAACGTCCCAAACCGATGTCGTCTTGGACTAAAACAGCGGGGTAAGTTTCAGATTACCTGAAACTGGGTGGCCTTTATAAGAAGCATCCTGCAAATCACAGTTTATTGTCGGGCCCCCGTGTCCTCAAACCCTTGAAACCGAAAAAGCCTAAACCCCTTAACCCACAAACTCTAAAATCCTAAACCCAGAACCACCGTAATGTAGGGGTCTTAATAATTAGACTAGGGTTTTGGTGCCCATTATACTACAAATACAACAAGGAACCCCAACAAATTAGTATTAGGACTGATTTAGGCCCCTGTTTTGCCCTGAACCATTGAATCAGGGAAGCGTTTAAAGGCCGCGTCCGCGCTGGAACCGCTGCCCCGGGCAAAGTTCACCTCGTCCTGGCTCGTGGCCGAACCCTAAGGGTCCATGTACTCCTTTAGGGTTCGTTTAAGGGCTCCTTTAAGGGTTCTATCAGGGTACCATAAGGTTTTAGGGTTTTGTAAATGCAGTACAGCTGGAATTCCTTACCAGGGGAATTGGGGTTCAGGGTTTAGGGGCTAGGCCAGGGTAGTGCAACGGCTCCTGCTCCCGGACATGCTGTCTGGCTCTTAGTAGGCAATGGGGTAATGGACTATGGAGACTACTATTGAAGATTGTAATATAGGGACTACTATACGGATCCATTCCCGCATGCCCTACTAAGCACCAGACAGTTTAGGGTTTCTCGGAATCCTTTCAAGGGTTCTGAAGGATTCCATAAGCCATATCTAGGCGTTGAGGTTTATCGGGCTCAGGTTCGAGAGTTTACTTAGTTTCCGGGCAGCAAACTTGCCACAAACAAAAAAATAAATGAACCTCGGTCTGATCCAACGATACCCATAGTTTGACAGTCATCCCATCACTCTGATGAGCAGGGAAAGAAGTAGTGGCAGTCGACATAGCAGCCATAATCATCCACAGCACATCACTCAGTCAGTATGAAGCACATTCACTACCACCACTACCATCATCGCCGGCAGCAGCTGCACAAGAAGCAACAGCGTTTTTGCCGCTTGGCTTGCTCTGATTGCCTTCGCTTGCTGAACGAATCTCGAAATCGTAGCTGACTAAATCTCAGACTTTTGATGTATTCAGCAGTCTGTCGGACAATCTATACAGATTGTCTATACTTGAAGACTCAGATGCCTACACCTGAACCCACATCCAGGGTAATGAAACGGCTCCTGCTCCCGGACATGCTGTCTGGTTTCTTAGGGAATGAGGGAATGGATTATGGAGATTATCATTGGGGATTATACAGGGACTACTATGGGGATCCATTCCCCAAGCATCTGCCGCAAGCAAGCTTCAGCCGAGATCATGCAGCAATGTTCTATGTCGGGCTCCTAAGACTCGTGCCTTAAAGATTAGTCTCGGCTTTTTTGGCATATGGTCTGTAGTTATATTATGGGGACTACAATAGTGAGGGAATAACCTTACTACCTATTCAGGCTTCTGTTCTATAGCTAGGATCGCATGGCTGAAGCCTTCGAGCCCGAGCCTGCAGCGAAGCAGTAAGAGCCCGACGTAGGGCCACGAGGCTGGGAAGAAGGCCTCCCGATGACTCAATGTGGGAGGGTTTAGGGTTTAGGGCGGGGGCTTTCCGAAGGAATCGGGGGGAGGGGGGGGCAGTGCGAAACCATAAATTCTAGGATCCTGTCAGGAACCTCAAATCGGGTACGTACTGGTACCCTAGTTATCTGAAGTTCCTATGTCGAGGAGATGATGCCTTCAAGCCTTTACCAGCACTTAATTTGGAGTCTAAATCCGTAAACCCTCGACCCTCATCCCCGACTTCGGCTACCCCACACCTTCCAGATGCTCCTTTCTGTGTGTTTGGGTGCTCCCGCGGCCCAGAAACCCGTTGAAACCGAAAACCCCAATGCCAAACCCAAGCCAGAAACCCTCAACACTCCGATTCCCCAAACGAGAAACCTTTCAAACCTAAGCCTCCAACAGTGATACGCTCCAGCAGGTTGCGCTGAAAGAACCAGGACACCTTCAATCGTCGCCGCCCAAAGCCCGGTCGATCTCGAGCCAGCTTTGAGAGTCGCACGGATGGCCTAGGCTAGGAGGACACTAAGGCATTCTGGTCAGATTGTACTATAACCTTAAGGAATAGACGAATAGATATGGGACTTAGAAGCATCGGGGTATACGCAATTAGCAACATGACCCCCCCGATAGTATACCCCAAACCCTTTACATCAGGCTTCCTTTCGGGAACAATAGTAATTCCTCAAGTGAAACAAGCTAAATTTCGGCCGACGTGTGCATATATGTGTGTGTATGTATGTGTATAACTAGATGTATATATATGTATGTATGCAGAAACATACGTACTATTTTGTGTCTGGGCAGTTGTCTAGTCTAACTACCTACTTATCTGTGTGCTTGTGTTGCTTTCTTGCTTACTTGCTTGTTTGTTTGTTCGTGCATTTGGTTGTGTTGTCTATCTATCCATCTATCTATCTACCCACCTCCCTACTCATGTATCTATCTATCGCTATCTACAATGTAGGTTTTTATAGACATGGATATAAATATAGAACTAAAGATATCGATAGTGGAATGCCCATGTACAGCCCTACTAAAAGCACAGGTTTTTGAGGCCGTTGAAAGGCACCGCACTGCTCAATCCTGCCCAATACCTGAAAGTCGCGCGCCAGTCGTGCTAAATTGTACACCCAGCGTCGATCGGCACATCGGGCGGGCAGTAGAGCTGCCGTGTTGACGGGCATGCATGAGCCGTGAGGAAGCTCATGTGCTGCGGGTCGTACGGAAAGCCAAGATTGAGCCGGCATCTGGGCAAAGCATATTTGCCTGAGCTCCATCGGCGGCCGAGGTACAGAGGGATTACCTGTGTACACTTCGTGCATTGACTTGCCTGGTCTACATATGTCTAGCCTCCTTGTCAGAACACCACCAACGACGGCAATAATGGTTAGCCAAACCAGAAAGCAAAGTGTCGTACATCAAAATCAAAACCAGCTACAGCTGCCAGTTCCACTAAAGCACCCACTCGTACCATCTATGAGCAGCAACCAAAAGGAAGTTGCGATACAAGCAAGCCTCTTAATTGAATCGGACCCTGTTCCAGCGCCGCCAACATATCCTTGCGACATCAGCATAGGAGGGTGTGGGTTTGGGGTCTCCATGAACTACACCCAAAAAGCTACCTAAAGGGCTCGGGTTTACATCTAACATAGGAGCCTTACTAATTAGAACAGGGTTTTGGGGGTTCCTTATATTGTTACTACAGCATAATACAGTATACCCCCCAAACACGATTCTGATTAATAAGGCCCCTACATTAATCTGCAGCCCCTGCACTCTAAAGCCTCCGCGCGGCTCCATTCATCGCACCCTTCGCCGGCCAGCGTCGGAAAGCAAACTTTGGCGGCGACTCGCTGAACGGAGTCGGAGCATCTAGGAAAGCTACTGCAGGGGCCTTAATAATCAGAATAGGGTTTTGGGGACACTATGACTGTATATATAAGTATTGTAAAAATAAGGAGCCCGCAAAATAGGGTAATTGTTTAGGCCCCTATATTATGGTTTTCTGCATGTCGTTTTAAGTTATCTTGTGTAGATTTCTGATAATGTCTACGGGGTATGCAGCTTGGCAAAGCATGGTCAAAACATTGAGGTCTTCCTGCGTTCCTTACAGGGGCTTTAGCAGTCATGAGACTTGCTCAAGGACGGATCAAGGGCTTCTGTGGGTTCAGAATATAGGAGGGCTTGACGAAGTTTAGGGTAGCAGCTTAGGTCATGATGGCTTGGGGTTCCTGGGGTTTGGAATTTGGGGTTCAGGGAATTGGGGTTGAACGTTTACGGCTTTCCACGTTTCGGAGAAGTTGTTCGGTAATGTTCATAGAACTAGACCGGAATGCCAGTTGCCTTGAACCCTGTGAGTAGCCCCAGAAACCTCCTGAAGCCAGCGAAATATCTGGCATTGCTAGTGTCGGGAAGTCAGATCCCCTGACCCCTAAATGCACCAAAACTCCAACACCTAAACCCTCAGCCCTTCCTTTAGAGCCCTGGTGCTCCGCCCAAAGGCCGCGGAACTCTTGGTTCCGGTGGAGGGGCGAGGCACCGAAAGTCTGGGTGAACTCCTTTCCGAGAATTTCTCTCTCTTTGGGGTTTAGGGTTTACGGGTTTAGGGTGTTTGGGCTTAGGAGCTTCGGGTTAGTAGGTTTCAGCCTGGATTTTCGTTTGGTTCGGGGCAAAAGGGAGGGCTCTGGCGTTACAAGGGTTTGGAGGTCAGTGTTGACGATGTCAACCTGAGGCTTGTCTACTGGGTCGTCTAAGAGATTTCAATCCCATGCAGTTAGGCGCTCGGGCTGCTTGCTTACCATACAAGCGGTATGCTTGCCTGAAGAGCTACAATCACAACAGGGTGTTGGGACATACCCTAATAGCTAGTCTGCCCTAGTAAATAACACAAGCAATTGCAGCAGACCTATTTGCAGCTAGTGCTAGGGCTCAAGACCAGCGTTGTCGGATCAGGAGTTAGGGGGTTTATGCGTTTAGGTCGGCTCCTATACTTAATCAGTACTAATACAGCTCCAATGGCATCAAATGCGAGGCCCTTACTACCCCAAAACCCTACACCTTCAACCCCTCAATGTCCTAAAGCCTAAACCCTACCGGTTCAGGGTTTCGGACTTCGAGTTTATGTTTTGATGGCCGCGGGTTTACAGACCTGAATGTTAGGACTGGTATGTGGTTTGGGGGCTCTTCCATGCTGGAACCTTGAAAAAATGTTTGGTGGCTCCTTCTATGCTGGAACCCTAGCAGAAATACATCTGTCGTTAAACGTTCAGGACTTGCATTACTTACCGTCTAGGCTCTGCCCCTCCCTGCTAGCTTGTGCCTGTCGCGCTTCCGACAGCGCCGCATCTGTAACGATGACAGGGCTCCCCAACGGGCACAGCCTGAGGAAATTCGGCACTCACAGCCAGATTGTAGCCAGCAGGAAATTCGGCACTAACCGCCCGCTTGGACCTGCAACAACTGAGGCAGGACCTGCTGCACCAATCCCTGGAACTGTTGCGAGGAGCGCGGCACTCAGGATGGTGTCGTACACGAAACAGGAACGCCAAATTACTCCGTGTTTGCTGCCGTTGCTCGTTGCTTCTTGGATGTGGGCCTCCCCTGTGCTGTTGTTGCGCCAGCATGATGGATCTTCGGTGAATCTGGTTTCTATCGATGGCGGGCTGGTTGCTGTAGCCATGCCCGCCTTCTCACGGGCGGTCTGCATCAACGCTCGGACCACGAGTATGCCGAGGGAGACCGCCCGTGAGAAGGCGGGAGAGTCACACATGGCGACAGCAACCAGCCCGCCATCGGTAGAAATCAGATTCAACGAAGATGCAGAATGCTGGCACAACAACAGCACAGGGGAGGCCCACGTCCAAGAAGTGACGAGCAGCAACCGCAACTGTACTGCTCTTGAATAGTTTGAGCGGCTGAGCTTCACGGAGTCATTTGGCGTTCCTGTCTCGTGAAAGAAACTGCCCTGAATGCCGTGCTCCTCGCAGGACTTCCAGGGTTTGGTACCGCAGCTCAGCTGTTGCAGGTCCAATCTGGCCGTTCATGCCGCAGAAAGCTTGCTTCATGACTCAAGCCCGAAATCCACAGCACCCACATTCCAAACCGTGCAATCTTATAAGCCTTGGCGCCCCGAACAAGTCTGAATTGTGAATTAAGGTCGGGCTCTTGAAGAAAATCCTTGGACCGGCTTGCACTGACTGCTCTAAACTCTAAGTGCTTAAACAGTTTCGGGGCGCGGCCTGTTATCCACAAGATGCCCGTTAGCTTGAACGCAGTATATACTGAGGCTCTCCAAGCCCTCATACAAGGCAGTGGCGATGGCAAGAATACTGAAGGCCACGAAGCACAAGCTTTTGCGTGATCAACGTACGCTACCATCCCCGACCGACCCGCTACAAAGCTCTGTGCTCCTAGACGTTGGAGAATCTAAAGCCCACGCTCACAGGCTGGCCCCAAACCCCTTTGAACAAGCCCGAGATCCACGATCCCTAACGTTCCCTACAGCCTATATGAAACTAAACCTTCAAATCCTGAAGCCTAAAGCCTTAACGCTAAACCCAAACTCACAAAACCCAAATCCCTGGAAGCCAGAACACTTAACCTAAAATTCCAAAAGCTCTAAACCCGACCACTTTCAAGCCCAAACCCTAAACCAGGAAATAACCCTGCGGTCCTAAACTATGTAACCTAAAGCCTCGACCGATAATGATTAGACTAGGGTTTTGGGGCCCAGTATAAATACTACAAATATAACAAGGAACCCCCCAAGATGTAAGCCCCTAGAGTAAGCTGAAGCATCGACCCACCCCTATAGAACCACTCGATGCCAGGACGAAGAAACTCGCGCGAGGCAAAGGTCAAAGCACCGGCCCCCTGAGGCGGCAGAGACGCTGCGTCGCCTGTTTTAGGGTTTAGGGTTTTAGGGTCTTAGGGTTTAGGGTTTTAGGTTTTAGGGTTTAGAGTTTAGGGTTTAAGTTTTTTTGTATGCGCAGTGACTCTTTCTCCGCAGCAACACAGGTTTAGCGTTTTGGGGTCTTAGGGTTTAGGGTTTTAGGGTTTAGGGTTTAGAGTTTAGGGTCAGGGCGTCTAGAAGAGACTTGTATATAGACTACCACCTGTAGAGCTGATGGGTTTGTGGTGTTCAGAAGTCGAAGCAAACAGAGAAATAGTTAGGACGACTCCGGACCAGTTGAATAGTCACGCTATGTTGGTAGACTTGTGCGAGGAATTTTGCGCCCGCTTCAACAAGTTCTCATGGTAAACCTCCAAGTAAAAACCAGGCCACTAGGCATGGGTCTAGTCCGTCTCCATCGAGCGGAGCAACCAAAACAAATTCCCTCCTGAGAATCCAAAAAGCAAGAGCCACTCGTATATAGATCAACCCTAAACCAGGTTATCGGGGATTCCCTCCCACCTGCACAAGGTCGACATTGCAGGGGAAGGCAAACAACGGTCCCGGCAATGTCGCCTGCTTTTGTCGTTGGGCGTCATTGAGTCAGGGCATATTAGTATACACATTTGGCGATTTTGTGCAGCTACTGCTATGCACCCAGCATCTACAAGTGTCATTGACGAAAGACAAGTGCGACGAGGACGACCATGATGGCAAATACTATGGGGGCCGTTTATAATTACCTATACTGTTTTGGTGGTTCCTTATTATAAGCATAGTATAACGCTGTACTAATTATTAAGGCCCCTATATACTCTTCCTTCCTCCACATTCGACCTATATTAGCATGTTTATGTTAACACACTGAGCACGACATCCTGACGGCACCCAAGGCCGACCCGACACACTTACCTGAATCCCATAAACAGTATCTAAAGTAAATTCGTGTTCTCTAAATCCCGAGTAAACTACTCAACCATCTAAGCTCCAACAGCATAACATCCCAAAACAATAGTCAGAAGCCCCCAGAGCCATAACCCCCGCCCTCTACCTAAACACCACATCCTTAAACTGCAAAGCCCATAAACCAAAAGTCCTCAAGCCTAAGGCCTACAGATCCTAAACCTAAACCCCCAAAGAATCTAAGGCGGGAGCTCCCAGAATTGCTGAACAACCTCAAGCCGTCAACCCAATACTCCAGAACTCCATAATTAGTCCATAGTTCATTGTTGGGATAGGATTAAAAATGTACATTCTTATACCTTATTGGGTTTAAGTACCCATAAAACTGTAAAATGTTGCCCAACTATGACAAAGATAGCCCTCTATCTCCGAACCTATGGCCGAAGATCTCTTAAAGTTAATCTTCACGACAGCAACTCCCAAATCCAAGAACAGTGCATTCCTGAGGCCCACGTCCCAAGAATCCCAAATTGCAAATTGGTAACCTCGTAAGAACACTCGCAAGCTGCGAACTCCTTCACAGAAATTGCTGATTCAATCCATCAACCTTCAGCAGACTATGAAACCCAGAATCCGTACGCCGATTCTAAACCCTATCCACCAAATCAACACCCGAAGTTCCTTAGGCCCCAGAACCCGGAACCCTGAACCCAACACACGAACCCCAAGAACGCCGGAAGCCTCCCAAAGACAGCCCCAACACTTGGGTCATGCCCCTGGGGCTTAGTAACTTATAGCCATTATACCCTAAGGCTCCATAGTAGGTTCCTTTTGGGGTTCATAGTTAGAGTCCTATATATAGGGTAATCCCAAAAAGGAACTACTATGGAGCCTTAGGGTAGTTACAATGGCTCAGAGCCGCAATCAGGGTAGTTACTCAAAACCCGACCCGGATTGCAGAGGAAAGCCTGAAAACCTATGCAGAGCCACACTTCAATCAGCAGAGCCGTGATAAACCCCAAAATTAAAAAAACACAACTGCGCAAAAAATGACGAAACAACTAAAGCAAGGAGCCCCTTAAACCCCGAAGCCTCCACCCTAAACCAGAAACCCCCCACCCAGTCTCCCTCCGCCCAGTCTCCCTCTGCTCCCCCCCGCCCCCCCACCCCTACCACCACCACCTAAACCCTAAACCCTGAACCCAAAACCCGTAAACCCCGCCGCCCCACCGCATGGCCTGGAAGTAGGCGGAACGCCACGAGACCTTGCGCCACGCGCTGGGCCTCTGCGGCGCAGCCCTCGAAGGCCTCAGCGTTCTGCTGAGGGGTTGCTATAAAAGGAACCCTTATAGATCCCTTTAAAAGGAACCCTTATGTTTAAAAGGAACTACAGTAAAAGCCAGAAAGTTGGAATATGATTATCCTAAGCCCTTTATGGTAAATTATAGGGTATCCTACCCTGAAACCATATTCCAACTTTCTGGAGTTCCCTTTAAGGCATAAGGGTCATGAAGGGGGTTTTAGGGTTTACAGGGTTGAGGGTTTAGTTGTTGATATAAGGGTCATCGAGGGTATTTTGGAGTGTAGGGTTTAGCGTGGCCAAGGGGTTTAGGATTCAGGGTGATAAAGGGGTTTATAAGACTTTTGCAGGTCTTGATGTGGGTTTAGATCTGGTTTAATAAGGGTGGAGAAATGCGAAACGAAGTATTTGGAAGGGTTCTGGAAGGGTTCAATGAAGGGTGTACTAAGCATTTAACAAGGTTCGATAAGGTGTTTATCGCTATATAGGGTTCCTCCATAAGGCTTCGCAAGAGTTCTAGGGCTTTTAGAGATCTAAGTTCTTGTGCTTTAGGTTTTCGGACATGAAGCTTTCGGACTTTTTAGGGTGTAGGGGTCTAGGGTGTAGGGTCTAGCTTGTCGGTTTACTCGAAGGAAGATGGTAATGCGCTTTGGGCTGTATTAATTAATCTTCGAAGGCAGAGTTCAGGACGGAGTGCTAAGGTTCAAGGTTGATGGCTTGGTATTTCGGCTAAGGGTTGGCGGGCTGGTTTCGGGGTCATGTATGGGAGATATGGATGGCTTAGAAGCTTAGAGCAGTTTGAGGGCAGGATTCCAACAGGTGTCTCAGGGTTGAGGGTTGAGGCTCAGGGTTAGTATAAAGAAGCTCATAGCTACTTTTGCACTCTTAGTCTTAAACCATCTCAAGAATCCGGAGATACAACTCCGGGAGACCCGAATTCCCAAACCCCAAGCACCAAAAAACGGAAAGTCCCAAGATACCGAACAATGAGCTTCTTACGGAAGCACCTCTGGCCTATGGGGGAAAGGGGAATGGTCCGGACCTCCGCTGTCGGACAAAGCCCCAAACCTGAAAAAAGGCAGACCCATATCGGATGCTGGAGAGCTCCCTTAAATGAATACTGTTGCCGGAACTTGACAAGGTAGAGAATATAGCATTAGTCGGGCACATGGTAGGGCAGCCAATGGCAGCATAGTATGGCAAGACCTTGCGTTGTGCAAAGGCTCCTATACCAGCTACGCAACCTTTCAGCCCTAAAAACCCCAAACCCTGAACACTAAAACAGCCTTGACCCTCATCTAGAGACTCATCCGCACCTTCGAGAAAAGGACAAGAATCAGAAGCACAAATTGAAGCCACGCGACTCACCGCAATCCGAGAGAAGCATCCTCCATTGCCCTACAAACCACAGACTCTATCCCCACAACTCCCAGAAGTCAAGCCTCAACCCTACAATCAGACTCCTGAAGGCTGAACCCTAAAACATAAACTCGAGATTAAGCACGCTGAGCCCTAAACCCCGAATTCCAAAAGCCTGCACCCTAAACCCTGAACCCTACACGCTAAACCCTGAACCCTACACCCTAAACCCTATAAACCTTAAAGAGTATAAACATTAATTAGCCATACTTACACCCTAATATTTCAGCTGCTGCCACCGTGTTGTCGGACCATAGCTGCGGCGGCTGTGCATCGCAGAGGCAACCTGGATTTACGATTGCTGGGGAATCAAGTAGCAAGACTTCGGGGGCTGGCAAAAAAAAGGCTTTGGGGCAGACTATATAGTAGATGTATAAACAGGAACCCGAATATTAGTATTAAATACTTATTCAGGCCTCTCTGTTGGCAGGTTTTTGGTTGGGTTTCATGAGCAGGGCCTGGCACTTTAGCTATGCCCACCAGTAGTCGGCCTGTCACATGGCCTCTGCGACGACAATATTAAGGTTGCGGACAGAAGATGATAGGTATGGTAAAGATGATAATTTTCCAGCTCTGCATCGGTGTTGCGATGCAGCTCGCTTTTGTCAATGGTTTAATATAGGTACTATCAGTACTTGACTTACAACTCCCTGCAACGTTTCTTGCCGGCCTTACTCCATGAAATACACGAAGTGCGGCAAAGACTCCGCCTTCCGCAGCTGCAGGGGCGCTGGAATCTGTAGCGGCCTACAGAAGCTGATAAGCATGCAGTCTCCGGCTTATTCCAAGGATGCTAGCTATTGCTGATGTTTGTGCACACACACACGCATACTTGTGCACCTGACTACGAGCTTGCATACACACACATACTTACTTGCAGATAGACAGTTCGAGAGGCAGGCAGACAGACCGACAGGCAGAGACATATTATGCATACGAGCATGCGTGCCTGGTAGTTCATCAACAAGACTACTGCACAACAACCACCACAACAACAACAACGCGCGGACGCCCTGTAAACGCGCGCGCGCGCGGCTGGAAGGCAGACTTGTGTTGATTTTCTGTCTTTGTGCAGGTAGGCATTTGGTGATGTGTGCCTGTGCTCTGCGACAAAAACCTTCTGCAGTGTGGCCACGTGTCTCCCAATGGCCTTGCATGAAGGATCTAGCTATTTTGGGATGCAGGTGATCAATGAACGTGGCCTGCGTGGGACAAACAGCACATGCTGACATAGACGTCTGTTTGTGTTCATTGCACGTGCAATTGCTGCATGCACGCTCGCCCCCCCTTGCCGGCGTCAAAAACGCCCATTTCGCGCGAGACGTCCTCCGCACAGTTTTTTGGAACTTTACGCGTTTTTTTGTTTTTTTTGCATAGGAAGCAAAAACACGTGGCCTGTGTGGGAAAAACGGCACATGCTGACAATGGCACGGGTTGGCCACCCCCCATTGTAGCCCCCACTGGCGAAGGCTGGGAGTGCGAAGCACAGTAAAACAACCAAATTCCTAAACCATCCCCAAAAAATCGATGCTCTGCGGCAGTGAATATGGCATCATCTGGACGTGATCATGGTTGGCCCATGGATGCTCTGCGGGAATGGATATGGTCTGGTCTGGACGTGATCATGGTTGGCCCATGGATGCTCTGCGGCAATGGACATGGTCTGATCTGGACGTGATCATGGTTGGCCCATGGATGCTCTGCAAGCAATGGATATGGTCTGATCTGGACGTGATCATGGTTGGCCCATGGATGCTCTGCGGCAATGGATATGGTCTGATCTTACGTGATCATGGTTGGCCCATCGATGCTCTGCGGCAATGGATATGGTCTGATCTGGACGTGATCATGGTTGGCCCATGGAGGCTCTGCGGCAATGGATATGGTCTTATCTGGACGTGATCATGGTTGGCCCATGGATGCTCTGCGGCAATGGACATGGTCTGATCTGGACGTGATCATGGTTGGCCCATGGATGCTCTGCGGCAATGGATATGGTCTGATCTGGACATGATCATGGTTGGCCCATGGATGCTCTGCGGCAATGGATATTGTCTGATCTGGACGTGGTCATGGTTGCCCCATGGATGCTCTGCGGCCATGGATGTGGTCTGATCTGGACGTGATCATGGTTGGCCCATGGATGCTCTGCGGCAATGGATACGGTCTGATCAAGACGTGATCATGGTTGGCCCATGGATGCTCTGCGGCAATGGATATGGTCTGATCTGGACGTGATCATGGTTGGCCCATGGATGCTCTGCGGCAATGGATATGGTCTGATCTGGACGTGATCATGGTTGGCCCATGGGTGCTCTGCGGCAATGGATATGGTCTGATCTGGACGTGATCATGGTTGGCCCATGGAGGCTCTCCGGCAATGGATATGGTCTTATCTGGACGTGATCATGGTTGGCCCATGGATGCTCTGCGGCAATGGATATGGTCTGATCTGGACGTGGTCGTGGTTGGCCCATAGATCCTCTGCGGCAATGGATATGGTCTGATCTGGACGTGATCATGGTTGGCCCATGGATACTCTGCGGCAATGGATATGGTCTGATCTGGACGTGATCATGGTTGGCCCATGGATGCTCTGCGGCAGTGGATGTGGTCTGATCTGGACGTGACCATGATTGGCCCATGGATGCTCTACGGCAATGGATATGGTCTGATCTGGACGTGGTCATGGTTGGCCCATGGATGCTCTGCGGCAATGGATATGGTCTGATCTGGACGTGATCACGGTTGGCGCGGTAGACCATGGACGTCATTAGGTCTTGGACATGGATGCTCTGTTTCGACATCGCAGTAGACCATGGACGTCATTAGGTCTTGTACATGGATGCGTGGTTTCGAAATCGCATAGACCATGGACGTGGACGTCATTAGGTCTTGGACATGGATGCGCTGTTGTGGACACGCCGGAACCACCGATGGCACTGGTGTTTTCGGCAGGTGAACCACGCAAAACACCGCAAATACCTATGTTTCAGGCGTCACTAGAAACGTGGAAAGTGGACACGCCGGAACCACCGATGACAGTGATGTTTTCGGCATGTGACCCACGCAAAACACTGCAAATACCAGAGGAATTGGCACATGCGAAACGCGCATTTACAGGTGGTCCGAGCCAACAACAACGAGGCACAGCTGAAAGCTGCAGCTCAGAAAGTAGTCGCTCGGTGGGAATCATCAGCTCTGATACGGATGTAATTTCATGGGGTTGTCTATCTGGTCATGTTCTACAACCAGGCGCCTTTGGTTCGGCTTTACAAGCCCTGCTGTCCTCTATACTGTCGTCCACCGCAATCCAAGAGGCGTGTTACATTTCGGATTAAGTGCTCAATATCTTGAAAGAAACGCTGGACAGGTAGGATGTCAAACCCCAATGGCTCATGCCAGACACCTCGTCCGGGCACCGCAGCAGCACAGCGCCAGTCCCCACCAGTGCCAAGGCCGCGCGGCGCATGCAGGACAAAGCTCAGGGTTTAGGGATTCTTGTCTCGACTTCTTGCGGGAAAATGATCGCACAAGCATGCAGTGAAAGGTCAGCAGCAAGGCTAAGGCATCACCCCAAATGCTGCCAAGCCCCCCAGCGATGCTTGTTTTGTCGGTGCATATGGAGTTGGGCTCCGGGGTCTTAGGATGTGTTTGGTTGAGGGAGTACTCCGGGCTCGCGCAAACCGTGCCTAGCGTTTCCACATGCAACGGCATTATTGCTGCTATTGCTACCCTGAAGACGACGACTAAGACTTTTGAAATGTTAACACTTCGTCGTCCTCGAATAAACATAATCATAATAATCATCATTCCTGTACCGCTGTCACAGGATATCTCCGCGGAAGCTTGGACAATTCGGGAGCTTGGAAGGCAGACGGCTTCGGGATGTCACAAGAGGCAAGCTTCCTCTTACGAGGGTCGGGCGCAGGGTTCAGGGATTACATTTTGGGGTTCGTACTCACGCTTCCGATATGATCCTAAACCACAAGGCGCAGGCTCAATCTGTATACGATAATTACTGGTCACGATGCTTGTCAAAATCGTACTCCTTGCTAATCCTGGTGTCCTGGATTCCAGGCGTGTGAAATCGTGTGAACCTGTATGTGACAAGCTCCTGAAGAAACAAGAGGGTTAACAACGCACCAATGGTTCCAACTGCCTCGATGCCGTGTCTCCAAGTGCAATGCCATCCTCCTTATTCGCACCATCATCGTCGTCATCATCACTGCTATCAATCGTCATTATCGCCAAGCCGGAAGACTACCTGTAGCCATGATACTGCGCGCATGGTGCCTCCTGCCCCCAACGCCGTTAACGAATCTTTTCCCGTGGCGTGGTCCTTCGAGCCCCGGTCTTCGAGACATCTAAACGAGAACCCAACCAGGCCAACTATATATATATATATATGAATAACATATATATATATATATATATATATATATACAATATGATATACATACATTATATACATATATATATATATATATATATATATATATATATATAATATATGTATGTATCTATATTATATATATATACATATCCTATAAACCGAATCCTGCAAGTAGTGAGAAGTGCTGACGACATGATCCAGGCCTACGCGATTCTTTCCGGAAGCCGCCTTAAGCAATGACAAACGCACGGACAGAACTCCTCGTGCCTGCCGTCACTCTGAAATCCCGAAGCTGCTTTGGCTTGGGCGGTTGCTGAGGTCCAGTCAAGTACTTCAGAGATCATGAGCGGCCAAAAGTATCGTTACAGGCTACTGCAAGGCAAGCATGATTAGCAAACAAGCTACTTAGAGCATTGACTCGTAGCTACCCAAGAAGCTTCAAGTATCCAACTGTGCTGCACATGTCTTCCTGCTCAGCTTTCACCTCTAAATAGGATGCTGCAGATGCCCTCAAGCGAGCCAGCTCATGAGGATAGCGGTTAGAGTTTGGCTTGTGGTTTCAGGTTGCGGTGAAACCAGAACATCCAATAACTTGTGCACGTCTTGCTTGCAGCACTAGGCGCAGCCGCCTAAACCCTAAACCCTAAACCCTAAGCCCAAAGCTCAAGATTCTCTCAGAAGCTTTCAAGGACCTGCCCTGGCTTCTTTGGCCGGAGCCTCATCCTTCCCCAAGTCTTCCAGGGAATGGGTCTAGTGGGTTTCAGGGTTTTACTGTTTAGGGTTTAGGGTTAGTTGGGGTTCAGGGGCTCGGGGCTTGGGGTTATGGTTCATGGGCTACGGTTTTTGAGATTTAGGTAATCATGGGCCCTCAGTAGCAGGATCTTTCTTACAACAAGGATCTCCAATAAGGTACCCCTAATTTCAACCAGACCCCTCCCCATCTACCCCCGTACACCCCTTGCTAGAAAGGCGGTACAGTATAGGATGCACATGAGCCCATCTACAAACAGAAGAAGACGAAGTAGAGCCAGCATTGAACGGTACTTGGAGCCCTCAGTTAACGGAGACCTCTGTGAGAGTTTCCGAAAATTAGGGGTACCTTATTCGGCGATGCTTATACTAACGATCCTACTGTGTAGGGTGCTATATTTGGGTCCCCTGTTTTCGGAAACTCCCATGAAGCAGACCCGAGAATTTAAATCCTAGTTCCTGGCACCCTAGGCCCTGATTCCTAAGCCTGTAAGTTGCGTGGGCTGGAAGCTCAAGCCCTGAATATATAGGTTCTAGCATACTCAAAAAGCAAGTGTGCTACAATTGCACTACAACTCTGCCATAATTCTGCTATGATTAT